CCCAAAAAATATCAAAAATGGTCCTCTAAATCATTTGATGAACTATTGATTAGATTTGGCATGCTCCTCCAAGATTATGTATATGATGTTCTATAGATGGTTAAAATGCTATTAGAATTAGACATAAAATAGTAAATTTAGATGAGATATTTTAATAAGTTCCTGAAATTAAGAGGGCAGTATATTAGTAAACTTTTAATAAATATTACTTATCTATATAGTTAATTTTCAATGATTTAAAAGAGTAGAGAGATAAGAATAGAATATGCCTAAATAAAATAAGATTGAGTACCTTGATTAAAATCAGAAATTTGAGAGAGTTGAATTTATGAAAGTACAATAATAATATAAATAATAACATATATTAAATAAAATAATATGATGCAAGATTAATAATGAGAGTATAATTAGAGGAATAAGAGTTTGAATGATTAGAATGAGTAATATTTGAGTAAAAAAGTGAAGTAGTAATAATTGAATTGAGTGACTATTGTAATTAATATAAAAAATATGTTTAAGAAGGGGACAAATATCCGAGATTTATTTGCAGAGAATGAGAAACCAATTTAGATAGTATTAAAATGTAGAGCATCATAAGAAAGTAAAAGTGATTATGAATGTAGTGCTATCTTTAGTGAGTGTGTCTCCAAAATTAATGGAATAACCAAAATTAAGTGTTCTTGTTTGTTAAGCTGAGATGCATAGTCCTGAAACAAAGACATATTGTTTGGGAGAGTTAAAAACAACAAAGAGAAAACCTTTATCACATAGCAATAGTATAATAATAAAGGTAGAATGTATAAAGTTTAAGTTTAAGTGTACAAATTTAAGTACAAAATTAATGTAATAGTTATGTTGGAAAGATAAATTATACATTAAAATTAGTAATAGGATGGGGTGGATTTGGAAAGGTGTGGAAAGTAGAACATAAGAGATCTAGATAAATCTATGCAATGAAAGAATAGCAAAAAAGCTAAGTAAATAGGGTTGAGGACTTAGATTTTAGGGAAAAATTCAGTAAATCAGTGTTAAACAAGTAGAATTTACTTTAGAAGTTGAAAAATCCATTTATAGTAAATATAGTGGCAGCATTCCAATATAGAGAGACCTTATATTTAGTAATGGATTATCTTTCAGGAGGAGATTTAAGATTTCATTTGATATTGAATAAATCATTTAAAGAAGATTAAATAAGTAAGATTATTATTATTATAAATAATAAAGAATTTTTTATGGGATGTTTGATTTTAGGATTAGAATATATGCATAATAATTAAATAATTCATAAAGATTTAAAACCAGAAAATCGAGTATTTGATTAATAAGGTTATTTGAGAATAACAGATTTAGGAATAGCAAGATTACGTAAATTAGATAATCATAATGAAACAAGTGGAACTCCTGGTTATATGGCACCTGAAGTATTACTTAGATAGAATAATTCTTATGGAGTTGATCATTTTGCTTAAGGCGTTATGACTTATGAATTAATTACTGATAAAAGATCTTACATTGGAAGATCTCGTAAAGAAGTAAGAGATGAAATACTTGGTCGATAAGTATACTTAACTTAAAAAGAATGTCCCAATTATTCTTCATCTC